TTAGAATTTTAGATGAACCTTATAAGAGTATAGCAATTTAATGATTAATTCTGACTGCAAGTAATAATTTAAACCAAAGCAATACCAAGTTAACTGTAAGTATAAAATATTAAAAACTCTGATAAGTTTAATACAAAATTAAATATAACTTAATGATTATAACAAATCTTATTAGTTTATTAAAGTTATTAGTAAGATAGAATGAATACAAATAAATTCTAAATATAACAAATAGTATAAAACTTTTAGTTAAACTATTTAAATTAGACAATGACTAAAGTTATACAAGTGACTAGTTGTATACTTTTTCATGATTGTTTTTGTGTCTGTTATATCAACAGATACTAACTAATATATACTATTAATAAAATCTTAGATTGTATATACTCATCTTAGCATTAAAAAAATTTTTTATTGCTTCAAAGTTTCTTAGTAATTTTAACAAATTTTTTAATAAAGTTTGTAAAATATATTTTTAATAAAATATTTTATAAAGGGTGTGATAACCTAGTGAAATAGTCAGGTTGTTAACTCTTCAAATAGTAGGTTAGATGTTAAATTCTATTAACAATAAAAATTTAGATAATTACTTATATAATTTAATCTATAGCAACTGTTTCTAATAATTGAATTAAAATACCAGTAATTATGGTTACATTAGCATAACTGACAGATTATGGGGCATTTGTGTAACTTGTTATATAGAAGAATACAAACTGACAAATTGAGTAGTGCAAACTCAAGTTAAGTTCTTGTGCCTATATAAATCTATAGAAATTAAGAAACAAGAAGCTCATTTAGGAAGACCCAAATAGAGAGATAATACAGATCTTCAATAGTATTACTGTAAAGTAGGGGCCTGCAAATTGCCTATTTTTGAGGCCCGGCCTGGTCCGCAATTAGGGTTAAAATTTTTTTTTAGGCCTAGCCTGGCCCACATTTAGGGTTACTATTTTTTTGCTGGCCCAGCCCGGCTCGCATGTGTTAAATTTTTTCTTCAGCTCGGCTCGCAAAAATCTCTTATATAATTTTACAAATTTTCAGGCCTGCACTGGCCCGCAATTATAAAGTTTTGCAAATTTTTTGGCCCAGCCCGGCCCGGCTCGCAATTATAAAATTTTGCTTTAGGCCCATTTTGGCCCACAAAAATTTGTGTATCGGGCCAGACCAGGCCAAGCTGTGGGACCCAACATAGGCCTCTATTGTAAAAACTAGATCTAAGAAATAGATACTAATGCCAAAGTAGCTGAATGGACAAAAACCTTTAGGTTGGAAGTCTTGGAGATACCATCAACCAGATTATCAGATTAGATCAAAAAAAAGAATATTAGACTAATCTAATATATCAATAGACTAGTCATAGTCCTATATAGGCTATCTGAATTGGAAATTTGATAAAAGAAGCAAGTATATACTATAGTACTAAGGATATGCTATAAAGTAGATACTAAGGTCTATATAAACTCTACAAAGGCATAGCAGTTTAATAATTAGTCCTGATTGCAAGTGGTAGTTCTGACATATTGATATCTAAATCAACTACAAAAAATATATAAACAATAGGCTTTAGTAGATTTATTTTGAGGATAACTATCCTAAGGTTAAAATGAAAAATCTAGACTTGACCTAGTAAAGTAATATAGGACAGCTTCAAAAAGTTTAAATAAAACATCTAAGCAGAAGTGTTAGATACAACAATTAGTAAGGAATATTAGACAGACTCCTTAAATAGATAATATAAAAGTTATATAAGTGACTTATTGTATGTTCTTTTTGTAGTAGCTTCTTATATAACTACATTTCTAAAAATATGTTAATAAAATTAAAAGACCAAAGAGGTTACTTTAATATCAAAAAAAAATAAAATAAAATATTTTATAAATAAACTATATCTTATATTATTAATAATTTATTGTGTTATTTAAAAAATACTAAATTTAATTTAAAACTTCAAACATTAACTTTTTCTTTTTTTATAATATCTCTTTTGGTTTAATATCCCTAACTCATATTAACTCATCTATATTAATATTTTAAACTTTTATTAATATTTTTTCTCATATTAAATTATTAAAAAAGAATAACAATTATTTACTCTATATTGACAATTATGAAATTCATATACTTATTAACATTTAACAACATGTAATTTTAACTTCGATATTACCTTAATTACTAACTATTTACATTCCTAATACAGAAATTCAAATAATTCAAAAAAATATATTTTTCTCTCATTATCAAAATTAACTTATTAATCTATTCCTATTAACTAAAAACCTTTCAAATAATACTTATTTCTTTACAGATGCTTTAATTATTAATATATAAACATCATATTCAAAAATTGGTATTGGATGAATCTCTGAACATAATATCTAAATCAAATTTAACTTTACAATATCTTCATATTCTGACTCTATTTGAGCAAAACTTAAAGCAATTGTCTATCTTCTACTCATTCTCATAATAAACTCACAAAACAATATACATCTTGATAATATATCAGCTCTAAAAACATTCAATTATTTCCTTTCTTATACAAATTTCTACATATTAAAAACTGAGATATTTTATTTATTATCCACTATTTTATTCAAACAAAATCTTTTAAAATCTCTTTTCACAAAGTTAAATCTTATTCTAATAATTCTTTTCATAATTAAGCTGATCTCTTAGCTAAACAAGGTATCTCTAAACATTTAATTAAATTCAACTTTATAATATTACTTCCTGATCATTTTAAATAGCATAACTATATAATACCTACTAAAACCTGACTATTTCTACAAAATACAATTATTATATAATCACTTCTCTCTTGGTCACAACTTAAATCCTTTCAAAACCCATTCTCTATTAAATGATCAATAAATGTTAACATTATCAATTCCCTAAATAATGATCAAAAATTCTATATTTTTTGGTTTAAAATTATTAATAATAACCTATCTACTATGTAAAATCTTAATTTACAATATCTGCTCTTATATACTATTCCAAATTGTGTCTATTGTCAAACTTCTAAAGATATATCATATTTTTTTATATGTCTTAAATAAAAATATAATCTTTAACAAATTCTTCAAACTTTAATTTTAAATATTATTAAACAATTAAATATCTCTTTTTAACTTTTAGATAAAATCTATATTATCTTGTCATAACAAACAAACACTTCACTATACTCTTATTTTCTTAATCTTATTAAAGACCTCTTCTCTATATCTCATTATGATAATGTTAAAATATTATTTCATAAAACAACATTATCCTTCTTTATAGTCCTATCAAATGCTATTCTAAATGAATTTCATTAACATATATGACTACCATATAATATTCTTCAACATCAATAAGAAAAAACTCATAATATAACTAAAAAATCCAAATATTCAAAAATATATTCTTTAACTCTATTTTCTTAATTTAGTTTTAATACTACCAATACATCTACTATAAATCCAACTATATTTATTAAAAACTGATTAATTCTAAACTATACACTTATTAACTATATTTACTAAATGTCAAGACTATCACCTTAGGTTTTCTCCAACCTTTCTATGCTTAAAATTAATTTGAAATAATTAATAATAGTGTTATAAAGAAATGAAGGTGTAATATCACATTGGATGTCTTCAATAAGTAGCACAAATATAGTTTAGAAATCTTTAATGTAATTACTTTTATTACTTAATAAAGTTTCTACTTTGACATAACAAAAAAAAAAAAAATTTAAAACTCCAGACAAATTTGCCTAGAAAATGGTTTAAGAAATAACTAATCAAATAGTTTCTAAAAATAAAATTTCCAAAGATAAGTTTTTGCTTTGCAGTCCTCACATGACAAATTCTTGGCAATTAATCAATTGGGCGAATTTCTTTAGTACATGTTATGATTATAATAAAATAGTGTGGGATTATAATCATAATGCTGGCGGAATGATCTGATATTATATTGTAAAATAATTTGTTTATATGTTGCACTCCGGGTGAAGGATCAGTCGTGTAATATCGATGGTTCCTTCTGTTATGATCAGCGGGTCACCGGATGCATTTTAAAGTACTTTTTAAAAACGTAAAGTTTCACTAATCAAAAAATCGCCGTGAAAGCAATTTCTAGCAAATGTTTACTCTTAAAATTAATCCAAAATAATTCACTCCTCCAAGAACTTAGAATTTTTTTTTTTTTTAATATTCATGGTGAGGCCTTGCCTCTAGTGTCACCCGGGCAATTGATTTATATCGGCCAATCAGACGAAAGTCCTCTTATGACCTATGACCCCCAATCACGGATAGGATCCCCAAAATTCTGGGCCGTGACTTCGGTCGGCTGTGATAACAGATAAAATTTTACGAAGTTATTAAGTGCCAAGCTGACAATTTTGCTACAGTACGTAATAGTATTGCTTTATGCTAGCGCTAGTTCAGCTCTGATGAATTCTAACCCAGTTTTAGTAACTCTAAGCGTATTCATTCAAATTTGGAAAAATATGTTGCAAAAAATCTATAAAAAGATCAAAAATCTGTCATGTTACGTATCATTTTTTGCACGATAAGGATTACAATTTAAGGATATGATTTTTTGGATTCTGATAACGATAACGATAGTTATTCTGTTCATCTATAAATCTCGAAATAATAAAGTTCAAAATGGTCTTAAAAATGTACATACCTTAACACTCTTTGATAGGCTTATATCAATTATTAAAAAGAGAGGTCCGGACCAATATTATCACAATATTAAAGAATATTTGGAAAGAGATGGTTTTATAAAGGTAAATTTTATTTATATAAATAAGATATCAATGAAAATTGACATTTATTGAAAAAAACAGACCTGGTATGGTGGAAGATGGTTTTGTTTGGTAGTTGATAATGCAATCGTAAAATATGTATTATTAAATCCGGGTAGGTGAAAAGTTAAATTATAATATATTTATCAAGGTTCAAATTTATTAAGAATCTAAATGATCTATAGGTATTTTTCCAAAATTAATGCTCGATGAACATTTTCCAAACTCTTTGATTGCTCGATATTATGGTGTTAATGTTGTTCATTCAAATGGTGACGTGGGTATTAAAAGAAAAAAATAAAAATAAATTATTTATTCATTTGTTATTATCTTTATAACGTATCTTGTAATGACACTTTAGGTATGGAGACGACTTAGGTACTTCATGCCAACTTTATATCATCAACTCTTATCGAATTTATTAATTTGACTCGTGATTTAGGCGTATATGTAACCCAGCATTTAAATCTTTGCCCATACACTTCTTTATCGAAACTGGGTTTAAGTTGATGGATATTTTAGAGAAAATAGACAATAAACCAATTGAAGTTAGGAATCTTATGCACAGGTTATAAACAATAATTGATTATACATATATAAATTTCTTTGGTGTTGAAATATTTATTGAAAGTAAAATTTACAAACAATCTAGATTCGCTCTGGATGTTCTTGGCAAAGCTGCTTTTGGGTTTGATTTTGACGTAAGTATACATATATTTTTGGCAATATTTATTTTAAGGATTTCATTATTTTTAATGAATTAATAAATTAGAATCTTGGAAAGCCGAACAACGTTTATGTAACAGCATATAATAAAGTTCAAGAAGACATTAGAAATCCATATTTTATTTATTTTCCAATACTTAATTGTATTCCATTCCTAAATAAGCAACGTTTTAAAAGAGTAGAGGAATTGGATAATATATTGGATGAAATTGTTGAAAAGAAACGCGAAGCCTTGGCTAATGAAAATACCCCAAAACGGGGAGACCTTTTAGAATTAATGTTAAAAGCTTGCGAAGATCCTGAGAATCAGAAATTAACAAATGTTGAATTTAGGGTATGTTTGAAAGCTTGGATAGTTAAGTTAATACTTCTTTTATAATAAAGATTATGACTCTTTTGTAGCATAATTTGGGAGTTTTTATGCTTGCGGGTCATGATACAAGTGAGTACTATACTATGTAATATATACATTATTGTATTTATATTTTTCAATGAGACTCATAGCTCGTATTTTAATTAACCTATTACGAATTTAGCCGCGAATTCTTTGGCAACAGTTTTATATCTTTTAGCAGCTCATAAAGTAAGCATTATCATTTATAACTTTTACATTTAACAGATAATTAAGACTGTTTATTTTTTATACAGGATGTCCAGCGAAAAGCTCGTGAAGAAATCTTGAGAGTACTTGGTGATAATTTAACACCATCGATGGAGCAACAAAAATCATTAAAATATTTAGATATGATTCTTTATGAAAATCTTAGATTATATCCACCAGTTAATATAAACTTCTTTAAATTCCAATTAATTTTTTTTTTATTGTGTTCTTTTAACCTGATTGAATTGATTAAATAGATTGCAATCTTACCAGCACGTGTAACAACAAAAGACATAGAATGCCGTGGTCATGTAATTCCAGCTGGCGCATGTATCCAATTATTTATATATGGAATACATCATTCACCAGAGCTGTGGAAAAACCCAGAAGAGTTTTTACCCGAAAGATTTGAAAACGAACAGCATGAACAAGGAGAGTTTGGTTCCTGGTTGGGTTTTGGTGGTGGATCCAGAATGTAAATTACTATATTTTTTTTAATTGTATAATTAATGAATATAGCTTATGTGTATATATATTTTTAAATGGATAGGTGTCTGGGACATAACTTTTCGTTTATTGAGCAAAGAATTGTGCTATGCTTGTTATGTAAGTTTTTATTTATTTATCAATTGTGTGAATTTGATAATATTCAAATTAATTCCTATTATATTTTTACAGTACGTAAATACGAAATCTCGTTAACACCAAACAGCATACATAAAAATGGGTTAAAAATTGACGTGGCATATTCTGGAACTATGTCGCCGCTTCCAATTGAACTTATATTCAAAAGAAGAAGTGAATAATTTTTCGAGTTAATAGCCGCCTTATTTGTAGCATATGGGTTACCGTCAATAGAATAAGAAATCTGTCTTGTTTCTATTGACGGCAACTTATATAATGGATAATATCATAGCTGAAATGTTTAATTACAGAATGTGAACATAACTAAGGTTTCTAATGGGAAATTGCGACAGGTTTTATTAGACTCGTTAAAGCATTAAGCTTGCTATATTAAACTATTTTGAAGCATCCAATTTATTTCAAAATAAATCTGCACTCTTATGGGCTCAAGATATTGGTCCTCCTACTATTATACCTGAATAAAGCTATATTGATCTACAGTTCTCTGATCTTTTGATACTGGGTTAGTTGTGTATTCCATTGGTGTATAAGTTCTTGGGCGTAAAAGTTTGGGTGAAACTTGTATCACGATAATTTCCTACAATATGGTTTCCATTCTGTTAGATGAGCTTTGTTCATCTATATGCTTACCTGAACCTTTACCAAAAAAAAAGAAATAATACAAATACAATAAATTTCAAATCTTTGCAAGGAGTTACATAAAAAAATACAATAAATTTCAAATCTTTGCAAGGAGTTAATTGCATAAACTTATTAGCCTAGGGCCGAAGTACCATGCACTTATTAAATTAAAATTGAAAGAAATTCTGAATCGAGAAATGTTGACGTACATGATTCAAAAATACATCTGTGCTCCGACTCTAAGCGATAAAAATTTTCAGGTGCTTTTGTTTAATATTACGTGAGTGCTGCAAAATAAATCATGAAAATCTCATTTTATCTAACAGAAATATTTTATTATTTTACAAAATTGATAACTTATGTTTATTATTCAAAATATACAACAAAATAATATAATGGAACTACACTTGACCAACTTAAAAAGGATATATATTACTTATGAATCTTGTCGAACAGAGAATAGGTTTGATATATATATGATTTATATTTGTATTTATTCGGCTTTAAATATATAAATATATAGGTAATTTATAAAAATTTTGATAAACGATCAACGTTTATTCATAGATTAAACATTATTATTACCTTCAAGATAATTTCTATCTGAATCTGAATTTGGATCATATCTATAAATTGGAAATTCCAGAAATAAAGAGCTTTTTATAAATTGTGGCAAAGGTTCATATAATGATGGTGGAAAAGGAATTAAACAACTTGTTCGTGATAAATAACGAGAATACTCGGACCAATTCCCAGCTTTGTATTGTTTTATGTGAGCTGGTCGTTCGTTTAGAGGCATTCCACTTAAGAATAATAAGATTACTAGCATAAAGTGACGAGGAATGTGTAGATGTCAAAATAAAATCAAGTAAAATAGTGAAGAAAAATAGAATGGATACTTACGGATAGTGAATATTGGAGAAAGTATAGAAACCATGGCGGTTTTGTCTCTGTGATTAGACTGTAAACATAACAGAAACATCCCAATCCTAAATAATAATAATAATAACAATCATTAATAATACCTAAATTAGTTAGGAAGAGATGGTGATCGATAAATTTTTTGATAAATCATATAATCGACCGTGATGATTTTTCTCCCATTTTTTAAGTTAACAATAATGTTGTCATATTTAATGATGGATGAAACAATTTGGTTTGTTATCTTGTAAATTGATGACTTGTAAATCTCCTTATAACTACGCCCATGAGCAATTTAAGGGAATAAAAATTGACTTTATGACAATCTCAATTATATATCATTGATTTACATCCTCACCAAAACACCTCGGCATGGTATTTGCCGTTGTAATATCAGGAGCGGTTTACAATAATTTAAAAATCCAGTAATTAGTTAAATTAAGTAATTAATTAGTCATGATGTGATCGATCATCACCTCTAGTTCGCAATAAAAATTCGAGAAAACAACTTACCAAAGCTGAAAGAATTAAGGTCGTAAATAGGTAAATCGGTAAGTAAATCAAGATAACATCTATGATATGACTTACCGTAATTTCTCCGAAATAATTTGGATGTCTACTCCATGCCCAAAGACCAGTTCTCATAAATTCCTTCGGAGAAGTTCGTCTGGTACGAAATATAAGCTGTATTATCGGTTTAGAATTTAACAAAATAATAATAACGATTAAGTATTAGCCCAGCCATAAATGCAGAAAGTAGCATGGTCTTTATAATACCTTTTGAACATCAGCAACAGACTCAATCAAAAGTCCGACAACAAACAAAATAACACCCAAAACATCAGTGGCACTCCCAAATTGATCCAATATTCCGACTGAATTATTAATTTTTGGAGAATTTAAGAATGTAAGAGATAAACTGATAGTCCATATCCAGATCATTTGTAAAATAAAAAATGTAAGAAGCTTTGAAAAATGTTGTCGAAATTCATCAAAGCGAGAGTCTCCATGACCGGTCTTTAGCATACGATATAGACAAAATACTTTAAAGCAAACAGCAATTAATAAACCTGTTTGACGAACGTGATGAATTGGTAGATAAAATAGTCGTGGCAGAAAAGTTTCGCAATTACATGCCTTATGTCAAATAAATTTTGAAATCAGATTAATGCTGACTCAATAAAATTTATTAAAAATTAAAATTTCGTAAGGATTTTTTTTAATTAGAATGAAAAGTAAGTTACCGTAGATTTATGCTACATCAGTTTTATAACCTTATTGACTAGATTCATATGATCGCGAAATTTTCCTGCTACGATTTTGAATAGGTATCGAAACTTACATCCTAATCGAAGACCCCATATAATTTGAAGTAATGTTGCAATTATTTGGCGAGTGCTATATGACTATATGTACATTCGTTAAATTGTCAATAAATACGAACAAAAAAATACATATAATGCGCCTAAACTTACTTGGCTGAAAATTAAGGTCAAAATAGCAAGTAACGCAACATTCGATCCACCTATAATTTTTATTTTGTATCAACTTTATAAATCAACGTAAAAAAACTGAAATTCAAAATTTGAAGCTAAAATTAAACGAACCTCCAAAATCCGTAACTAATCATATTTAAAAAGATAAATATTAAATAAAAAAAATAAAACAAGTCAATTATAATGTTTCTTTCTACATACCGGTTTCAGCTTGTAGTGTAAATGCTGTGAGAAAGATGATTAATTGATATAAAAACGTAATTATTGCTGTTATCCCTAAATAATAATCATCCAGTATATGAATCGACATTTTTTACCTCATTCTCGAGCAGAAAACGATACTATATTTATAATTTTAAATTTGTCATCATGCCATATATTGAACCAATAAAAAATCACATCATACTGATGTTTCGTAAATGTCCCGTGTTTCGTAATTTTCGAATTAGTTAGCTGTTTTTATTTGATAACGATAAGGATTATTTCAAACAAGTTTTGGATACTAAGTAATACGTATAATAAAGTCCGGAGATATATAACTTGCCCCTGAAAAATCTATAATATGTATGATCACGTTTTGAGGCGTTGCACCCGGCAAATGCCAAAACTACGTCTTTGATTCTTTCGTTAACAATTCATCAAAAACGTAATTTCAGTAATCAAAACGCATAGAAGATAAGTCCTTCACTTTGCTCTGGACAATCATGTTAATCAAAAAAAGACATGGACGTTGATTACAGTATAAAGGTTAAATATAATTCGCATAAACCGTTTGGGAGATCTTTAAGGAAACAAAAAACTGTGCAGCCGTCATTAAGTAAATAACTTTCACAGCATATTATTAGGAGATAAGTTGTTTGAGAACGAATAGTCTACTTGAAGTCTACCAATAGTTTTGTCTGCTTTTTTTCTAAGTTTAGCGTTTTCTTATATTAGATTTTGTCATTTGGTTTTTATAAATAGTTAGGATTATGTAGTTAATACAGATTTATCGATTCGGCTAAGCTGATATTTAAAAGTCGACTAACGCTAAGTCGAGTCAATTACGACCGGGGTAAAATCGCCATCCAAAAAAGTTAACTACCCCAGCATACCCCATAAAAATTCACGTTTCACGTGATCTATTCGCCACAAATTAATCAAATATTTTATCACTAACGTTTTTAATAAATAAGAAATAGTATAATGACGCTATGTTTAATAAAGGTTATTTTAATAGTAAAGACTCAAGTTTTATTAATTGTTTTTTAATGGATTCTAATTTGGTTAAGGGTAGGGAACAGTATTTCAAAATTATATATAAATTTAATGGTAAATTTTTTATATATATATTAATTTTATAAAAAATTATATTAAGTAACCTAATTTTAATTATTAAGTAAAAATTGTAGAATAGATCTTTTTGATTTTAATGATAGTAAAATTATTATTTTTTTTTAAATATTAATGGTAAGGTCATGCCTTTAACTTTATTGAAATTCAATTGAAGTTTTTACAAAGAAAAGTTTGCTTTTAAATTACATAT